GACGAGGGCAGCGCGGTGTGGGACATGCCCGACATCTTGGAGCTGCTGGACGACAGGAGGTGGCACTCAGGACGATTACGATGGTGCAATCTCGGGGTTCGTGACGCTCGAGGATCACCAGCAGCTCAGACTACACGCATAGTCAGCAGCAGCTACTTCGACGACCACGACGCGAAGTGCCGCTGCGGCTGGCCAGCAGGCCGACATGTTACACGAAAGACTGCTGCAGATCGGTTGGACTTCAAGGCCAGAGGGGTATCTGCTCTGGTCAAGCGGATGGTGGCCGCTGGTTGCTTCGACGGCGGCGCGAGATCCGACGCAGCCGACGGATTGTCGCCATCTGCGACAGCTACACCAAGCCGTGAGGCCGGGGGTGACTCCCGACCCGGGTCGTCAAGGACGGATCCGACGACTACCGGGCCTCCAGGATCTCGGACAGAGGCTTTGAGAGAAGCCGACGAGGAGCAGTCACGAGCTGAGCGACGTCGACCTGGCCGAGTGTCATTCGCGGACGACGTCGACGGGACAGGCTGCAAGGTGAGCGCGCTGACTGCGAGCTTTCCCACCGAGCAGAGGACGCGCGACAAGGCGCGTAAGGCAGCAGACCCGGAGCGCAAGGTGAAGAAGAGGCCACAGACAGTGGAGCAGGTCTTCGACGACTGCGGCTCCGATTTCACGAAACTCTACGTGGCGAACGAATACGAGCTGGACGAGGTGTGCTACGGCACCGAGCTCAGGGAGGACCAGCACATCGATGAGCAACCGTACATCATGATGTCCGAGTTCTTTGGCATGATCGGCTCGGAGGCGCACCTGAACGAGAAAGACGAGCAGCTGAACTTCTTCAGCTCGGTCAAGGATATGGACACACACATGAACATCTACTACGGCCACCTGCAGCACGACGACGTCGCGGAGCTGTGCGGTGGCGCATCTGGAACGACCCGGCTACTTGTACGACGAGGATATCGGGGCGGTCCCAACTTCGATCTCATTTGCGACTGCAACTTGATGACGCACGAGGGCCAGAGGCAGTTTTGGGAATATCTGTATCGTGGCAAGCCTCTTGTTTTACTCATTAGCACGTCCTGTACGAGCTTGAAGGGGTTCTCGGCGCTCAACAAGGTCATCAACTACGACGGCTGGCTTCGCAGTCGCAAGACATCAGTGGGGCTGGCCCGCATCGCCGCTGCAGCGGCGTGTACTCAGATGGACGCCGGACGCCACTTTGTGTCGGAACAGCCGTTGGGCAGCGACTTCTACAAGCTCGACGACTGGCAACACATCGCCAACAACTACGCGGTGGCATGGTGCCAAGTCGACCAGTGCATGGCCGGCAAGATCGGGCGGCGAACGGGACTACCTATCAAGAAGTCCTCGGAGTTCTGGGCTTCGGACGAGCGCCTGCTCGCCGGACTCAGGAGGTTTCGCTGCGACGGCCAGCACGATCACGCCTTGCTGGCCCATGGTGGCCGAGGACACCATCCAGAGCGTGACAAATGGCGACTAGAGAACCCCAAGGATCACGCGGAGTGGGCGATTGGCATCTGCCGGGAGCTGGCGGCGAGCATCTCCCAGATGGTGGAGCGCGTGAGGCATCAGGGACACCACCTCGTGGTGTACGAGTGCTACCCCACGGCCGCTGTTCAATCCGAACCAGCTGGCTCCTCTGCCTCCTCGGCGTCTGCGGCCGCAGCACCAGCCTCGGGAGCAGCATCAGCCGCAGCATCATCCTCTGGAGCAGCAGCAGCCGCAGCATCATCCTCTGGAGCAGCAGCAGCCGCAGCATCATCCTCCGGAGCAGCAGCAGCCGCAGCACCAGCTTCGGGAGCAGCAGCAGCGGCATCATCAGCAGCAGTGGCTACAGCAGGAGTACCGCGCGCTGCGCAGCCGTGCGCTGGATGTCGGCATCATCGGCCGGCTGACCACCCAGCCCATGATCGAGGGGAGACATGCAAGCATAGATTTGTGCCGACGAATCGCGACTTGAAGTGCCCGGCCTGCCGGAGTGGTCGCGCGGCCTCAGACACACGACATACCCGAATACCTGGAGAATGCCGAGCAGACAGTGTTCTCCCAAGAGCAGTTGGACCTCGAGATCTACGACCGAGACAACCACCAGCCTCCGAGGAGCCGACTGCGAACCAGGCACCGAGCGCCGCGCGAGCCGACGCGCCAGATGCCGAACCTGAACCGCCACTGCCTCCACCTGTGCCTGCGGAGCGTCGACCTCGAGTGGCTCGAGCGACAGCGGCGGCACGGCGACTGCGATCGCGTCTGCCAGCAGCTGGAGAGGCGGAGCCGGACGAGCCATCAGGCGGCGCCTCGGGATCGGCGGACGCCATCGGTGAGGCACCCGCCGCGGAGCAACCGGCTGCGGCCCCAGCCGCGCCAGCCCGAGGCGTGGATGCGGGGACGCAGGCTCGAGGAAGTGACGAGCCAGGCTGGACCGCGTTTGACCTCGGGCACGCGCTCCGACTGCTGCACAGCCCACACCAGGAAGTCGTTCGGCGCCAGCTACGACGACTTCATGTTCGATTTTGGCACGCTCCAGCAGCTCGCCTCAGAGAGCTGCTGACCAAGGCCGGCGCTCCTGCATCTACGCTGGCCCTGGTGAAGGAGATCTGCGATACGTGCCGGGTGTGTAGGCGGCTATGGACGAGACCGGGACCGAAGAGCATGACGATATCTCGGCTCGCGACGGGTTTCAACGAGATGGTGCAGTGGGACATCCTCTACATCGGCGAACAGATGGTGGCACACATGATCGACGAGGCGACCCGCTGGACGGTGCTGCACATCTTGGAACGGAAGACAGCGATCATGATTATCGCCGGCATCACTCAGGGATGGCTACGTCCTCATGGCCCCATGAAGCTGCTGACTGCCGACATCGAGGGCGGTCTCCATGGCGAGGAGGCGTACCAGTGGCTGGACCGCTGGGGCATTGAGATGAAGGCCAAGGAGGAGGGCTCGCACGCGCAGCTGGTGGAACGTCATCACGACCTAGTGCGCAAGATCATACGCCGCGTGCAGGCCCAGCTTGCGGAAGAAGGCATTGTGATGCCGTTGGAGATCGTGATCATGGAGTGTGCCCTCATCAAGAACCTCCTCATCACCGTGGCTGGCTACAGCCCGTACCAGGCGGTGTACGGCCGACTTCCGCCCCTGCTCGCCGAGTTCGAGCCGGTGAGCGACTGCCAGATCGACGACCAATCGGCTGGCATTCCAGGGATCTCCCGACACCATCATCGGCTCCGCGAAGTTGCAATGCAAGCCATGGTGGAGATGACCGCGAAGGACAGGCTGAGGCGCGCACTTCGATCCAAGAAGCGTGCCCCGCACGAGGCGCTGCAGCTGGCGGTCGGCGACCAGGTTGACTTCCACCGGCCGCCGAGCACGAAGGAGGAGTCGGGGTGGCGCGGCCCGGCTACCTTGCTGCAGGTCGGACCTCCAGTGCTCATTCGATGGCAGGGCCGAGTATTTCAAGTGCGACCTCAGGACCTTCGGCGAAGCCTCGTCTACTTCGTGATGTTCACGAACAACATCTTCTTTGAGGCAGGATCGCGTGACCCGGTGGCCACCATCATGAGCTACGCGGACCAGCTGGACAGCAAGGTCGTGCGCGTCGGGTGGCTCTTCGACGCCGGGTGGAAGCGGACCGCGGACAGCCAGAAGCTCAGCGAGTTGGTCCTGGCGGTGCTGCACGTTGCCGCCAGTGGCTTCTACCTGGTGGGGTGCATCGGCGCGCGAGTGGGCAACGGCGTGTCTGTGCTCGAGGGCATGGTCGGATGCGACCACAGCTTCCTGTGGTGGTGGCGGCGCGGACGCCCAGAGCTGTCCTGGTACCACGAGGCGTCTGGATCTGCTCGACTGAAGTTGGCCCCGATATTTGGCAAGGATCACTGGCGGGACGTCAGCTTCGTGCAGTTCATCATGACGGACGACGAGTCTGTTCGCGAACTTCGGCGACGTGAACCCGAGGTTCCGCATCTCGGGGGTCCGTGGTTCGGCAACCTTCCACACGCACGACGGTATGAACAGCCAGAACGACCTGAACCCGGACCGTTTCAGGAACCGCCAGAGTTTCAGGAGGAAGACTTCGACATGACCTGGCAGGACAAGCCGATATCCGACACGAGCATTCCAAGCGCATCTAGACAGACAAGTGCATCGATGCCAGTGCCCGACACGAGCATATCGAGCGCATCCAGGCAGACGAGTGCAACATCAGATTCAACGAGGAGTCGGAGCAACCGAGGGCACCATCGGCCACGAGGGCCCTCTCCTGCCTCGGCTGCTGCCGACAACATTGTGCCGCCCGTGAAGCCGCCTGTGAAGCCAGGCGGAGGAGCGCGAGAGAGATCGCGATCACGTGATGGCCCGGATCGTGATCATGGAGCCCGAGGTGCAGGTGAGCCAGCGGCGGCAGTTGAGGCCCCTGCACCCCGGCACGAGCCAGTGCTCCCGATCAAGGATGATGGTGGCAAAGACGACGACGGCGACTCGGACAGCGACGCGACCCAGGAGTACCTGTTCGCGAGCTGGCAGCACCTGAAGGAGCAGGCCGCTCTGCCTGCTGTTGACATCGAGTGCGCTCAGAGCGACTTCTTCTTTGCAGCCCCGGACGCAGATCATGTGGCAGAAGCAGCAGAGGATGATTCTTCGAATTCCCGACCCGACTGCGTCGAGATCGGCATAGGTGCGCCACTCATGTACTGGGTGCACCCTGAGGTGGAGCACATGCGACGACCTGGGTCAGGGGAGATCTACATCCTGCGCGTCTACAACACGGGCAAGCGCGAGATTGTCGTCGAGCGCGAAATGAACGTGCTCACGCTGGAAGAGGCCCGAGCTCACGAAGTTGAAGTACGGCAGGCCATGAAGGACGAGCTCCAGCGCTGGGCGGAGTTGAAGGCATTCCAGCGTTTCCCGAAGGATCAGGCGACCAACATCATCGACTCCCGCTGGGTGCTCAAGTGGAAGGAGATCGACGGCAAGAAGCAGGTGCGCGCGAGGCTCACGGTGAGAGGCTTCAAGGACATGCAGTCACCGGAGCTGTCCACCTTTGCGGGTACTACGACACGATGGGGACAACGACTGGTGAACCAGGTGACTGCACAGCGCAAGTGGCGATTATTCTCAGCGGACATCAGCCAGGCGTTCTTGCGCGGGCTCACCTTCGAGCAGGTCGCCGCCATGGACGGCGAGGTCAAGCGGAAGGTACAGTTCACGATGCCGCCAGGATCGATTCCAGTCCTCCGGCAGCTGGAGGGCTACGAGGACTACAACCCTGTGACAGAGGTGTTGTTGCTCCTGCGCTGCGGCTTCGGTCTGAAGGACGCGCCGAGGCTGTGGCAGGTCATGTTGAAGCAAGTGCTGGAGACGACAGGAGGCAAGGCGCTCATCAGCGACCCGCAGATCTACGTGTACCACGACGCGAAGGGTGAGCTGCAGATGATCATGTCCTCGCACGTGGACGACCTCAAGGGCGGCGGCGAGGACTACCTGCGGGAGAAGGTACTGAGCATGATCGAGAGCGAGTTTGGGAAGCTGAAGCGCCAGTACGACTGCTTTGAGTGCATCGGCATCATGCACGAGCAGGACGCTGTGACCAAGGCCATCTGGACGCATCAGCAGCACTACGTTCAGCAGCTGCGACCGCTCCAGGAAGACCAGTATGTGATGGAGAATGAAGATGGTCAGGTGAGCGTGGAGACCCACGCGGCGTACATGTCGCTGCTCGGGGGAATCGCATGGATGACGCAGACGATGGCGCCCATTGCAGTGTACGTCAGCTACCTCCAGCGGCAGGCCAAGAAGCCGTCAGTCGGAGACATCCGGAAGATCAACAGGCTGCTGAAGTGGATAATGGTGAACTCGAAGCAGCTCGGAGTTCGGTTCATCGAGTTGAACATGCCACGAGTGCGTTTGACCGTCGTCAGCGACTCAGCCTTCCACGCCATGGAGTTCGAAGGTTTGGCGATCCGAGGATGTGTGATCATGTTGCTGGAGGCTGACGCCGAGGTGCTTCAAACCGGATCGACGTATAAGATTATGATGCTTGACTGGTACAGCAGAAAGCAGAACAACGTAGTGAGGTCCACCTACGCCGCCGAGCTTATGGCGCTGTTGGACGCACTCGGCACCAGCACCCTCATGAACGTGGCATTGACCGAGATCAGTGAAGGAGTGTGCACAGCGAATGCGATGCGAGTGCGGCAGGAGGCCGGCGACCTAGTATTGAAGATGATCGCGGCCATCGACGCGAAGGCAGTGTTTGACGCCGTCTCCGCCGCCACTATCAAGGTGACCACGGACAAGCGCATGTTCGTGCCGACGCTCGCGGTGCGTGAGCAGATCGACCGCCTCCAGCTGGCACAGCTCAGCTGGATCGACACGGTGGACATGCTGGCGGACGGGCTGACGAAGGGCGAGCTCGACCGGACGGCCCTCGTGAAGCTGGGCTTCGGCAACGAGTGGCACTTGAGCGGGCTGCAGCCAGTGGCCTTCTCGGTGCGCAGCGTGCTGGAGGGCCGCGCAGAGCGCTCGAATTCCCGACCCGATTGAAAGGGTGCCAGGGAGAGCGGGAGCGAGCGTAGCAGCGTGCTGGCGCCCGCTGCAGCCTGTGCCCGCCGCAGCCTTTGGCTTATAGATGAAGGCGGGGATCCGCCGAACTGTCGACAGAGAGTGAAGGTATCAATCCTCAATCAGTACGCTTCCGCACGGCAATGGTGACGATCATTCCTCTTGTGCGTGCTGCCTGGCCGTTCGGCCACCTGGAGGAGGAGGAGAGCACCAGAGGTCTTTCGACTGGAGGAGGAGGAGGAGGAGGAGGAGGGGAGGAGGAGGAGGAGGAGGAGGAGGAGGAGGAGGGGGAGGAGGAGGAGGAGGAGGAGGAGGAGGAGGAGGAGGAGGAGGAGGAGGAGTGGGGAGGAGGAGGAGGAGGGAGGAAGGAGGAGGAGGAGGGAGGAGGAGGAGGAGGAGGAGAGGAGGAGGAGGAGAGGGGGAGGAGGAGGGGGAGGAGGAGGAGGAGGAGGAGGAGAGGAGGAGGAGGAGGCGGAGGAGGAGGAGGAGGAGGGAGGGGAGGAGAATGAGGAGGAGGATAAGGAGGAGAGGAGGAGGAGGAGGAGGAGGAGGAGGAGGAGGAGGACGACTACGACGACGACGACGACGAGGGGGAGAACGAAGAGGAGGGGTATAGTGGAGGAGGAGGAAGTCGGCCCAGACCCCTTCCCCCCCGCCCCCCTTCTGGCCCTCTGGGACAAGAGAACAGGCCGCAGGAGCCCGTTCTTTTCCCTATTCGCGGCGACGGGTGTGATCGGGGGAAGGGGGGGGGAGAACTCGCCCCCCCCCGATTACACCACGGCGGGGGGGCGCCGGAAATCCCAGGAACTCCTCCAAAAGAACCCGTAGGACATCTTTGCACATGTCGGGGAACATGGCGCGACGTGATCCCGGTGGGGGAGGGCGGGAGAGGGCCGATCACGGCCGTTCTCGCCTGGACCTTAACAAAAGCAGGCTCCAGGAGGAGGGCCTCCCACATAATGCGGGATGACGATTAATACAAAAAACGGGAGAGAACGATTAAACAAATAGTTTTCTGCTATGTCTGCATAATTTTTCTGACTGGAGGAGAACGATAAAAAATAGTTTTCCAGCCCGTGGCCGGTTTTTCGTAATCGTCATCCCGGGCGCCGCCGCGTGAACACGACCCCCGGTCGTTTATTAATCGTGATCCTCCATTACGGGTCCTGCTACTCCCGGGGCCTCTCCCCCGTGGTAGTAAGGAAACAGCTCCTGGGATGCTCTCGCCAGCACGACTCATGGCTACCAAGCCCGGCATTTATTAATCGTGATCCTCCATTACGCCGACCCGCTCTGCACCAGCGCGCATCGACGCCCTGGCCCTGCTGTGCATCCGCGCCGGCGAGCGCACGACGGGCCCACGCTTCCGCGCGCCTCCGGCCCTCACCTGTACCGAAGAGGAGGGGGAGGACACGTGGTGGGCTGGAGAGGAGGAGGAGGAGGAGGAGGAGGAGGAGGAGGAGGAGGAGGAGGGGGAGGAGGAGATGGAGGAGGAGGAGGAGAGGAGGAGGAGGAGGGAGGAGGGAAGGAGGAGGAGGAGACGGAGTGAAGGAGGAGGAGGAGGGGAGGAGGAGGAGGGGGAGAAAGGGGAGGATGGTTGAGGAGGGGGAGGGGGGGGGAAGGAGGCGGAACGCCATCCCCCTCCCCCTCCTCCGCAGTTCCCCCCCCCCCTCCCCCTCCGCGCGCGCGCGTCCCCCCCCCCGCTGGGAGGGAGCCCTCCCTCGGGCGGCGAGGGCACGGCCCCGTCAGCGCCCGCGGGTCCGCCGGGGCTGCTCCGGCAGCCGGCCCCTTGCCTCGACGGGTCGCGGGGGGGAGGGGGCGGGCTGGGACACCGGGGCGAGGCGAGAGGCGGGGGGGAGGGTGTGGGGGAGGTGGGAGAGGGGGAGCGAAAGGAGGGGAGGGCAGGGGAGGAGGGGAGACGCTGAGAGGCGAGGGGGGCTGAGGGTTGGAGGGGGTGCGCGGGGGGGGAGAGGGCGGAGCGAAACGAGGGGAGGGGCAGAGGGAGGATGGGGGAACAGGAACGAGGGCGCGGAGCGGGAGAGGGAAGAGCGGGCTGCCCAAGGAGGAGGAGGAGGATGATGAGGAGGAGGAGGAGGAGCAGGAGCAGGAGGAGGAGGAGGAGGAGGAGGAGGGAGCATGTGGGGGGAGGAGGAGGAGGACGAGGAAGAGGAGGAGGAGGAAGAATATGGAGGAGGGAGAGAAAGAGAGAGAGAGAGGAAACAAGCAGACGAGGTATGAGAGAGAAGGGAGGAGACGGTGAAGGGGGAGCATCATGATCATGGGGGAGGAAGAGTGTGAGGAGGATCGGTGAAGGTGAGGAGGGTGAGACGGGCGGGGAGAGGGTGGGGGGTGAGGATCCGCATGGCTAGCGCCGTGCCGACCCGAGCTGGAGACAGATGCGCCAGCAGGAACGGGATAGGTGCGTATTTGAATGTCTGCGTGTGTGCTGCCCAATTCGCTGGCATCCCCTACAGCTCATGCCGAGGTGGGTGGGAACAGTAAGGAGGAGTGCAGGATGAAGAAACGAGTGCGCGAGCGCAGCCGCACTACTGCGCCTTGGTCCCCGCGTGCGGGATGGAAAGAGGAGGAGGAGGAGGCGAAGGAGGAGAAGGAGGAGGTGGAGGAGAGGAAAGAGAAGGGGGAGGAGGAGGAGGAGCAGGAGGAGGAGGAGGAGGAAGGAGGAAAGGAAGGATGAAGAGGAGGAGGAGGAGCATGAGTAGGAGCGACGGCGGCAGAAAGGAAGGGAGGACGCAGAAGAGACACACTAACAACTGGACCGCAATCAGCACAACAGAGACCCTCCCCCAAAAGGCCTGCGCCTTGAAGGCCTCACCGCCTTTGTGCCCCGTCTGCCCTCCCCGAACTATTTGCCCCCCTCTCGGAAGGGTCACCGCGATCCCATGTCTGGCAGGGATCGGGCCATGGAGGATGCGAGCAATGGTGCGGCACATTCGGGGGGCACACAGGTGGGGCAGAGGCAAGGGTGGGGTTGGAGGGAAAACCGCTCCAGACGGCCCCTGGCAGAAGTAAGCGCGCTGAACGGGAGCATCCAGCTTCGCCCGTTCCCCCGCAGCACCCTGGGGTCACCCTCCCTCAACGAGCCCCCGACACATTGGCACAGGTGTCAGAAGCCGGCGCCACCAGGGGCAGCAAAACTGCAGCCCAAGCTCGCCCGCCGAGGTGCGGCTGATCCACTGCCAAAGCCTGTGTCTAGCATAACCTTTTCTCAGTGGCACGGGAGCGGATCGGGCGACAACGAAGTGGAACAAGAGATCCGCCCTTCTCCCTTCTGGTGCCTGCAGTGATGGCCGTGTTCCCCTTGCCGTCGGGAGTCCACGTAAGGTTCGTGAAGCCCTTACCTCTGCCCTGGCCTCCCTTGGCTCGCTTGCCTCTGTCCGCTGGCACGCCTCTCCTGTCCGCGAGCACCCCCCGGATGCAATCCAAGCATAAGACGACGGCGCATTCACATCGTTCTCCTTCTACAGGGCAGTTTTTAATACATGGTATTTTAAGAACATAGGAGTTTAATACATGTCTAATTTTTGAATAAGTATGCATGCGCTCATCGTTGCTTTTAATACTAAACCCTGCATTTTGATACATGATCCGCACGCGGAGCATGTATTAAAAACAGCACTGTACACATGTCCGACGAGCCTGCTTCAACTTACGCCTGGGATAGTGATACCACTTTTGGGCTGCACGCCCCCAGAGGCCATCCAGTAAGAGACGCCCGATCGTCCACCGCAGACAAGAATGCGTTTCACGAGCCAGGAAAAGCGTGAGCCGCAACCGCTCGAAACTGAGGTGCGCACGATACGCGAAAAGAAGAACACGGCTCAGCAGCCTCGAACCCAAACAACAGCTCCCCGTATGCAACGAGTTCGGTCCGTAGGGGAGAAACTGCGTTAGAGCATCCCTTGAAGGGCCCCCCTGTCCTTCCAATAGAAAGCGCAAGAACCGTTTCTTACAAGCGCAGTGGATTCTTGGTGCCCTTCGGGGCCACGCCCCAATGCCAAGCCCTGGCTGGCAATACACGGCCATAGAAGCACAGGAAGCTATCTGAACTGTGCTGCGTGGTGTCGGTCAGAGACTGTGAAGCCCCAGATCTAGAGATCGGCATCCTGGCAGGCTGGGTGGGTGTACCACCTCGAGTGCCGCAAGGAACAGGGACAGCTTGTCACATCAATATATCCGCAGCCTCGTGCTGTAGAAGTACTGCTGGCATGCAGCTCTCGAGCTCCAACCACTGCAACGGCCCCGACCCCTGCACATCGTCGCAACTGGCGCACAAAACCATCCAACGGCTGCCGAAAGCTTTCGACTCCGCTCTCGGAGATCCCTAGAGTCTCTTGAAGCCACCTCGCGCAAGGATTTCATGAGGTGAGCTGCCTTCTGTACGCAGGACCTAAAGGCTGGCGCCAAGGTCGGTCCCGCGTCAATGCGACGCGAACTTGCCGTACAATCACAGCAAACGATGCGAAAAACTTTGTCCATCGCAGCGCGGCAGAGGCAGTCCGCACGCTCGCTCAGCAAGCTGAGTGACAGCATTGCGAGCGGCCCGGATGCGAAGAAGGAAGGGGACTAACGCATCAACGATGCGAAACACGTACCGTCCCGATTGTCTTCATCTCAAGGTCGCCGGTACATCGGCGATGCGGTGCGATCCTTCGACGCCATTGGAAGACCTGGATGAGCGACAATACTGCTCGGAAGGATGCGCTGGAGGGCCGCTTCCAAGAAAGCAGGACACGCGTCTGGGGATGAAAGGCTGGCGAAGACCAGGCCCGAATCGTGCCGCAAGGCTCCTCAAGATAGGCATCCTCGTAGCCGTTGTGGCTATACCGACACCTTGGGAAGCGATGGTAAACACACGATGGACAAACTGGTGAAGTGTTTCGTCGTCCCCAGCTCACTCATCCTCCCGTCCATCTCCATACCCTCCTCCTGTCTTTCCTACCCCTCGTCGCAGGCAGACAGAGAGAGAAAGAGAGACAGGGGGGAAAAGTTGAAGCTTGGCCTTGCAATTCGTCGGCCCGACAGTCCAGAAGGTGTGTTTTGTTTCTCCAGCACGCTGATCTCAGAAATTCTAAGTATGTCCTCGCTCGCGCACGCGTAGGAGTCCCTGGTGCTCACCGAGGGTCTGGCGGGTGGTGATGTACGGGACGTGAAAACGACCACAGCCACTGCTTTTCTCTTGTTGCCGCCTTCCAGCCAGCAGAAACAAAGCAACGGTTGTGTGTTCATGTTTGTGAAGCCAGGGAAAATGACCACAACCACTGCTTCTTTTTCGGCCGGCTGGAAGGCGGCGCGAACAATTTTGGTCGGCGGGGCGAGAGCGAACCTCTTCCGCTAAAAGCTAGGCGGGCTACGCACAGCTTTAATCGGGGAGACAGGGCACAGGCAGCCGGGGCCTCAGGCGGCCGGAGTGGGCGGGGCCCGGGGTGCGGGCGGTGCCGAAGGGCTTGCACAGGAGAAGGTACGCCGCGGACAGGGACCGGAGGCGAACAAGGCGGCGCAAACAAGAAGCAGCGGCTGTGGTCCTTTTCCCGTCCCGCACGATGGGGGGGTGGCCCACATGGGGGTGACGAGCAGGGCCCCAAAGGGGCCCCCTTTAGGGCCCCTTTTGCGGAGCCAGCGGGGGCCCACGAGGGCCCCTTCAGAGGGCCCCTTATCCTCACCCGCCATCCAGGCCCCCGCCCCCCCCTTTGAAGGGGCCCCAGGACACACAAACAAATACACACAAATAAATGTGTTCCCATATTTTCTGAGTTTTCGTCTTCCCCCCACTTCCCATATTTCCCATATTATCCTGGGAGTCGAACATTAATTGTGTCTGTGTGTTTCTTTCCCTCATGACCCTTTACCACACGCCCGAGAGGGGAGAAGACCCCCTCTTCCAACATCAACCGGTCGGAGGGCATCATGGTGGTAACCTGCGGGATCGCTCCATCGAGCCCGCCGTTCAGACCGCCGCCGCGGGGCGTGCCTTCTGCATCGACGTCTGGGGTCCTGAGCCCTTTGGATGTGGCAATGCCCTTTTCTCCTCCTCCTCCTCCTCCTCAGGCAAGTCCTGGTCAGGTCCGCCGCGGGCTGCTGGGAATCCCCGGGGTGCGGCCTGTGCCCAAAGTTTGCCAACGGTGCCCACGGGAAGCGCATCCCCTCGCGGCCGCTCGGCCTCCTCCACGGCGCCAGGTCGCCTCCGGCGTGCTTCCTGGAAGCCCTGACAGCAGGAGCTCGACCACCAGAAACCTTCCACAAGACGCCCAGCCCTGAGACCCCCACGGCGTCCATCGATGTTTGGTGTGGGAACGTCACGCATTCCATGGCAAAACCATCGAAACCCGAGGAACCCAGAACCCAGACCTGAGGCCCCAGGGCGTCCATTGTGTTTTGGTGTGGGAGCGTGAAGAGCCGCCGCCGCGGCCTCACACCTCCGCTGCGCGCAGCCTGTGGAGGCCCGCGCTTCGCGACTCCACGGTAGTGGCCGAGGGTCTGACGAAGACGGGGCAAACCTCGGCTGGCAGCGCTTGTGCGCGGCCAGGCCGTACGTGAAAATTGGGTCCAAGACCTAGTGCAGGAGACTCACACAACCAATGTGACGCTCCAAACCTACACAGCTAAAGCGATAAAGACTGTGGCAAGCGGCTGGTCAGTGATGCCCTTCTGGTTGCAAACACCAGCGCGCGCCCATGCTCACCCTTTGGAGATCGTAAGGAGCAGCGCGCCTACAACCATCACAATGGCGGACATGACCATCATAATGATGTTCCTTGATCCTTGGACTTCCCTGAACAAAATAATGCCCCATGTGCTGGACAGCACTAGAGACAGCTGCGAACAAGGGAACCCAATGGCCACAGGGACAATAGCTAACCCTCTGATGAAGGACATCGTACCAGACTGCTTCAGCTGTTCTCAAACTTCCATGGTGTGTATGCGTGTGTGCGTGTGTGTGTGTGTGTGTGTGTGTGTGTGTGTGTCTGTTCAGGCTTTCCCAGCCTTGGAACTGGGAAGTCCCACATCAGGGGGCGTCGATGTTCCCTGCGGAATGGACAGCCCGAAAAAGGCAATGGAGAAAATGTTCCCCAAGTAGGCGCACGTGAACATGCGCTGGAGACACCCATCGTGCCCACCGGTGCAATCCCCCACCCCCTCCCCCCTCCAGGGGGAGCTCTGGTGTACATGCTGATGCGTAGATACTTCGAGTAGGAGATCACGTGCATAATTTGTCATCCCAGAATTGCTTCGGTCGTCGAATCGCGGCAGCAATACGTAGCAGTCCACGAACGTTTTACTTTTTCCTGTCTAGATGCGACGAAAATCAACTTCGGGTTACATCAATTATGTAGTTGATCTCCTGCTCAAATACTAGGGGGGCGCGTAGAGCATCACAACTCACACCTCAGCCGAAGCCCCCAAAAACCTGACCCGAGTCATTTTTGGCCGTTGGGCTTCGGCACGTCACCTGAGCTGGGACGCCCCCACGTATGAGTGTCCGTGGCCAGGGCGTTGTCCATAACCCAACACATGGGGAACCTCCGCCTCCTCCTCCTCCTCCTCCTCCTCCTCCTCCCCCTCCACCACCCCCTTCCCCCTCCCCCACCCCCTCCTCCCACCACCCATCCTCCTCCTCCTCCTCCACCTCCTCCTCCTACCTCACACCACCTCCACCTCCTCCTCCTCCTCCTCCTCCTCCTCCTCCACCTCCTCCTCCTCCTACTTCTCGCTCCCATCCTCCTCCACCACCTCCCTCCCTCCTCCTCCTCCTCCCCCTCCCCCCTCCCACTCCCCACCTCCACCTGCCCCTCCTCCTCCTCCTCCTCCCTTCCTACCACCACCTCCTCCGCCACCTCCTCCTCCTACCACACCCCCTCCTCCGACCTCCTCCACCTACCTCCCCGGCACCCCCTCCTTCACCACCTCCTCCTCTCCTCCTCCACCACCTCCCGCCTCCTCCGTCCTCCTCCTCCCCCCCACACCTCCTCCTCCTCCTCCCTCCTCCTGCCTCCTCCTCCACCTCCTCCCACACCTCCTCCTCCTTCCTCCACCACCTCCTCCTCCCCTCCAACCTCCCCCGCGCCCCACCTCCTCCTCCTCCATCCACCTCCACCTCCTCATCCTCCAGCGCCTCCTCCTCCTCACTCCTCCCCCTCCATCCTCCCCTCCCTCCTCCTACCCCCCCTCCCCCTCCTCCCCCAAGGACCCTGGGCGGAAGCCGCGGACGTGGATATATCCGTGGGCCCCCAGTGGGCCTGCAGCTCTCCACCTATACCCGCCGCCTCCCAAAGAGGTCTCGGGGGAGGATCGGCCCCCCAAGAAGCGGCGGGCGGGCACGGAGACGAAGCCCCTTGCTGGCGGCGCGCAAAAAGGGGGTAGGGGGAGGGGGGAAGGCTTCTTAGAAGCACCCCT